GCTTGGGTTCCTCTTACCTGGGTGCTGACCCTTGCACAGTGACCACACCCCACTAAGTGAACAGGATGTTAGGCTCCGGGTCTGGCCCTGGAGAATGGAAGTAGCTTGAATTGGTCACACAGCAGGAGTGACAAAGCACAGTTCCTGGTGACCATGGCCCGGACTTGTCCCTCACAATTCAGCTTTCACAAACATGTGCGAAGGGCACAGCGCTCGCTGCCACGTCCTGGCAGGGCTTCGTCTGGCTGCCACCTGTACCTCTGGCACACGGGGTGGGACCCAGCCATAGAAGCCTCACAGGCGCGAGTTCAAGGCCCTGGGGATGGACGCCCCACCCGAGGAGCACAGGGGCCCTTCTGACGAGTGTGCAGAGGCCCCTGCTTCTCTGGGATTTTAACTTTTCCACACTGTGAAGTTGGACAGTAGGGGCCCAAGTCTTCTTCTCGCCCCACTGAGAGGCCAGACAGGCCCCAGCTGGTGTCCACCTTTTCTTGTGGAAAATCTCAGCTTTGCTATGGCTACCGCATACTTAAGAGCTTCCGAGTGGGACCACCTGTTAGCAGGAAGTGGGATCCCTGCAGGTAGCTGGGGTGTCTGCTCTGGGGAGGCTCTTAGAACAGAATCCAAGTTCTCCAGGATGAGGAGACCCCTACTTCCTGTGATAGAGTCGTCTAGGGCTTGAAGCCAAGTCCCGGGGCAGGGATCTGCTTCCAAGATGGAGGATTCCGCCCCCTCCTGTACCCCCCAGCCCCCCCCCCCCCCCCCCCCCCCCCCCCGGGCATGAGGGGACTTGAGCCCCTAGCCAGGTCAGACACCATTTCCCAGGCTGGTCCATGGGGCTCGGAGCAGGGAGGGCCCCAGAGCAGCAGCACTGGAGCCACCAATGGCCATCTCTCCACCCTGGTCTTCAGGACCTTCTCTTGCTAAAGAGGAACCAGGGTCGGGGAGGTCACATTCAGAAAGGGTGCACAGTGCATCCTCTAACGTAGCTGGAGGTCTAGAAGCTTCCTCTGAAGCTGTCCTAGGAGGCTTTAGTTGGCCGGGGCTCTGATCGCTCATCTCGGGGACCCCACCCTCAGACACCAGAAGGCTGGTGTTGGGACCCCCCGCTCAGCGATCTCGAACCTTGTTTACGCACGCCCCCAAGTCTCACCTGAGTCCGTTGTCCCCTGGCCTAGAGAATGGGTAAGGGCTCAGCCCGTGGCCACTCCGTCCAGCCTGTCTGCGCTGAGCAGGTCTTTGGTTGTCAAAAGCCTGCTTTCTGAGAGGTCCTAAAATGAGGTAAGGCCTGTTCTGCAACCCAGGTCAGACAGGTGGCTGGGCCTGCACACTCAGGTTTCCGTCATGCAGCAACGGTTCACTGCAGGTGGCAGACGTCCCCCTCCCCCCCAAAGCCTCTTCACACAAGCAGTCCTCCTTGGGAAACCAGCGTGGGCCTGGAGCATGACTCGGGTGCATGACTCGGGCGCACGGCAGGCCCAGGGAAGAGGGGACAGGAGGGGTCCTGCCCACTGGGGCTCAAGGCCACCTTGGACTAACTGCTTCTCTACAAATGTTCGTCGAGCACCTCTCTTGTGCCCTGCATGGTATATACCACAGTGAGCAAAACAGGCACCCCACACACCGTCCCCGTGTGGGGACTCAACCAGGAGTCTCCAATCCAGCAGGGCACCGTCTTGCCCTGCGGCCAGGGGGCACCCCTCTGCACCCCGACTTGTTTCCTTCTCACTGCCCTTGGTGTCCACTTCTAAAACCTTTCAATGGACACCCCCATTTTTCTTTCGGAAGTACAGAGGGTGGCAGGCGGAGGAGGACTCAGCATGGTCCCCTCCTTCCCAGCTGCCCTCCTGGGCCTGGATAACAACAAGGGGACTCACTACCCACCCCGCCTTTTACCCCTCTCCTATCCAAGTTCAAGACCACAGCAGACCAGAGCCCTGGGGTCATCGAATGACCAGGCTCGATGGCTTTAAAGCAGATCATCTCTCTTTGAAAAGAATCTCCTGACCCCCGCTCAGCTTCGAATGGTAACTGAGCAGACCCCAGACTCAGCTGCTGCCCTGAGCCTGGCGGAGGGGTCTCATTGTGTCCAGGCCCAGTGCTTGGTCTCTGCCCCTGATGAACACCTCTTCCAACCTCGAGAGGATTGCTTTACCACAGAGAAACGTTTCTTATTAAAATCCACAGGCGGGGAAACGAGACCTCGTTTGTTCCTGCCAGGAGGTCTGGAGGCCGCAGGGTCATAGAAAACGCAGACGGATCTGAGGAGGAGCTGGACGCCCGTGATGCAGACTTCAATGGAACCAAGGCCAGTGAATAAACTCAGAGTTCTGCACGAGGGCCGCAGGGGGATCGCCAGACTTACCACCGACCAGCAGACTCTGAGCCCTTCCCAGCGTCAGACTCACCGACACCCCACACCAACCAGGAAAGAAAGCTCCCCCTGCCATCGGGGTGTGGATTCGGCTTTTAGGACCCCAGGAGAAAAGCCCCAGACGAGACACAGGAACGGCCCCCACATCGCTGGACCGGGCAAGTGTCGAGTTTTAAGAAAAGCCATAGTGACCAGTCACCAGCGCCTTTGTTCACATGAAATGGGGAGAAAGCTGCCATCCCGGGCGCCCCTGCCCCCGACCCTGTCTGCTCCCAGCTCGACCCCAACCTGCGGACCCCTCCACCTTCCGGAGTCCAGCCTTGTTTGAGAATTCTCCCCCTCTCCTGGCGGCCACACTTGACACACACAGTTCACCACAAGCCCAGTGCCTTCCATAGCCACGTGAAGCCAACACTGTACCTTGACTGTACTGCCACTGTCACCAATAAAAGGTTATAAACCACGAGCACAGGGTCGGCTTTTCTGTTGAGCATCTGTTTGGTTTTTTACAGAGCAAAGAAATGGGGCAGGGGGCAGCCTCACTCAATCCTCACCGTGACCCAACAGGGTGATAACTCCCCCAAAAATGGGGACACTGAGGCCTAGGGAGGAGAGACCGGTGGCCCCAGGTCCCATGGCTGGCGAGATGCAGTGTGAGGCTGTCTGAGGAGGGAGGTGGCCCGGGATCCAGGAGGGCTCTGCCCCTGCCCTGGACCAGGACCAGGGAGACTATCCTCACTGATCAGAACCCACGAGAACCTACTGGTTGTGCATCCTTGATCCAAACCCCCACATCGTTTTCAGCACCAGCATGACAACAGAAGTAGAAGCTCCAAGCGTGACCCCAGGTGAGGTCCCAGGCACAACGCGGGTGCATGGGAGCACCACCTTCAGGCTGTGTGTGGAAGGCCTATGCGAAATATGGTGTTTGGGGTTTTTTTGGTAGACTTGGATCCATCCCCAACATACCTCATTTCTATCTGCAAGTATCCCAATTTTAAATTTTTAAAGACCAACATCCAAAACACTTCTGGTCCCAAGCATCTTGAATAGGGGATGTTCAGCCGTAATATGGCAAATACAAGATTTCTTTGATGTTTTTAAAGTTGACTATAAGACTGTCCTCTGCCCATCAGGGGAGTAGTTGACCGTCTCAGTAAATATCTTAGCCTTTGTGGCTCCGGGCTCTGACGCACAGCTTTTTTTTTTTTTTTAAACCCTTAAAAGCATCAAAACCTTCTTGGCAGGTTGGTCCTACAAAGCCCAGGGCCCTTCCCTTCTTCCAGTGCTTCAGGCACGTCTTGCAAAACTTCTCTCACACCAACGACACCACAGACCGACACAGAGGGGGGAGAGGTGAGGACAGGAACCCGGAACCTCAGCAGCACCCCGGGTCCTAACACCCTTGAAGGGGGGCCCAGGCGTCTCCCAGCATTCCCAGCAGGCTGACCTGCAGGGAAATTTTTAAAAAGCAGTTTTTTTTTCCATATTTTGTGACTTGGTTAAAAAAAAAAAAAAGTTTTCACAAGCTCACAAGCCAACGCGGAGGCAGATCCCACGAGGCACGAACCAGCTGCACATGGGTCCCTCTTGATTTTATTGTTCTTTTAAAAAATCAAAGTCCATCTTTTACTGACAGGTTAGGATGCTTTCGGGGACAAAATCCAGCACAGAGGCTGAATCCCCTGAACTCGGGCAGCACTCGAGAAGCCGTCTTCATCCCAAGGTTATTGGGCTGGGCAGGAAAGCGGGCCACCAGGCTGGGCGCGGTTCCCGTGGCTGGGTGTGCCTTCCACCCATGTCCGAGGGCGGGCGTGCAGCGCGGCCAGCAGAGCAGACTCGCCTCGACCCGGGATCCCACGGCGGGTCTCCTCCCACCACAGGCGCACTGCGACCTCGTGCTCCTTTCTCATTTGAAGGCCACCCTGGCTATCTTACGATGATCTCATGTTTCCAAGTCCTGTTCTCAGGGCTGTGTCACTGCAGCCACTCCACCCCAAGGTCTCCATGCAGATGTCCACACGAGGGCAGAGGACTCAGGAAGACCAGGATGAGCATTTACCAGAGGACAGACTTCCCACTGACCCTGACCCACCTGAGAATGACTCTGAAAGTCGTCTAACCTCAGTGAGAGGCAGGCGACTGCCCCAGAGGCCCGGGACACGGTTTGAAAAGGCACAATGTGTCCTCCGTTCTCCACTCCTGGACGCAGGCTCAGGGCTGATTTCAGGGCACTGTGAGGCCCGGGAGGGTCTGTCTGTGAAGACAGCTCCAGGGGACAGGGCTGGGGAGGCGAGCCCAGGGGAGCGCAGCGCCCCCGTGGGGGAACCCAAACACAAGAAGCACCGCTCAGGGCCATGGGGACTCGGGCACTGACGTGGGGGCGCCTCATCACCCACAGTCTCACACTTCTCAGGGGCCCACTTTGTCCCTGCCTCTGGGATGTGCACACCGACAGTGACGCTAGGGACAGAGACATCATTTCATGGGGATGACACCAGGGCCCCAGGTGACAGCCTTGGTCCTTGGTTTGGGCCATGCAGCACCAGCAAACCACAGTGACTGCTGGCTCCCATTTCTCAAACTAACACCAAAAGCCTATTGGGCAGGGGACGTGGCGACGCACCCTCCGGCGGGCTCCAGCTCTGGGCTCCTAGAACAACAGCTTGACCACCCCCGGGGCGGGCGGCGGCGGCGAGGAGGACCGTGAGGGCGGCTTCCCGAGGTCCAGGCGTTTTCCCAACCTTCAGACAGAGCAAGCCAGAGTCAGATGACAGGACAGAGGTGACACGGCGGCTAACAGGGGCCTAGAAGGACCTAAGAATGTCAAGAGAGGGAGCACGTCTCATGGGGTCTCGATGCTCCCCCCCACCCCGTGATGAAGAACAGACACTGGCCACCTGGCTCTCATGTCCTCAAGCCCTCTCTCAGAAGACGCCTGAAAACACCCGCTTCTCACCTGTCGATTAAAGTGTGTGTGCGTTGGGGGGGGCACTGGGACCTGAACCCAGGGCTTGCATCCCATAAGCTAAAACTTCAGCCCCCAAATTTAAAATGTGCAGAAGTAAAAATTAAATTTTAAAACAAATCTGTGCAGGGCGCAGTGGTGCACGCCTGTCATCCCAGTGGCTCAGGAGGCTGAGGCAAGAGGATTGTGAGTTCAAAGCCAGCCTCAGCAACGGTGCGGCACTAAGCAACTCAATGAGACCCTGTCTCTAAATACAAAATAGGGCTGGGAGTGTGGCTCAGTGGTCAAGTGCCCCCGAGTTCAATGCCCAGTACCCCCACCGCCCCTGCCAGCACCCCCCCCCCAAAAAAAACAAATCTGCTTCTAGATGTCTAAGTGCATGCCACGGAAACCCAGTGAGCTTCCTGCCAGGTGCCTGCCACCTGCCAGGTTCATATGGGGAGGACCAGATTTACATCCAGGAGGACGGTGGTTCCTCCTGGGGAACTCCTGTGTCTGGAGGTGGCCCTGGTTTTCTTCAGGCAAGAAAATCTGTGAGGCTGCTGGAGGTCAGACTGGGCCTCTCTCCAGGACTCTAGCCTGGCCAGAGCGCAGTCAGTCCCTTCAGATTCCTGAAGGTGCTACAGGCTTACAAGTAAGAAAATCCTCTGAGAGAAGCAGAGCAAGCTCACAGGACAAGGGATCCTCATAGGACATTCCCAGGGCGTGACCCCACGCTGGGGCTGCAGAATCAAATTATAGCAATGGCCCTCTTTGTGGCCAATTCTCAAACCAGAGGTCACCTCGTTCGGTCTCAAGGAAAAGGAGGGCAAGGTTCACTGCAATGATCCTACAACTCAGAAGGGGGGGCAATGGGTGGGGTTGGCGTCTCCCACCCGGAGCACACAGAGGCCCACCCTACCTAGAGCACAGCAAAAGGTACTGACCCTTTATCACTCAGAGGTCCGCCGCTGCTGCTGGTCCGTCTGTCCCCGCCGTCTCTGTTCTTGCTCCCCCGCCCTGAGGCAGGGCCGCCTGTCCGGTTTGGGGACTGGTCATACACGAAGTTCCGGCAGGAGGCGAGTTTGGACTCCAGTGCCTGGAGAGAAGTGAACTTTCATCTCTCAGGGCAGGAACACCCCTCTCACCCACAGAGAGGATGAAACGGTGGTTCCTGGACGGTGCTGCGCTGGAATTCCCAGGGGTGGGCCAGAGGAACCCAAGTAGCTCTAAGACTTAGAACCTCTTGCCCCAGATACCCAGGAGCTTCCTGGAGAATCGCTAACTGCTTTATTGTCCAACTCCGCCCATAGGAAACATGAACTCAGCTTCCAGCTGGACACTCTTCTGTTGACCTCATGGAGCCTGCACAGAGTGGCAGGAGGGTTCCACAGGGACTTGAACTTGCAGTGGAGAGACCCTGAGGAAACCGAAGGGCAGTGAGAGCTCCCTGGGCCTCTTTGTATTCTAACTGGGCTAAATATTCAGAGACCTGCTAATGCAACAGAAAGAGAGGCCAAAGCCACGGCCAAAGGAAGGAGTGGCCAGCTTCTGTGAAGCTGTAGCCACCAACACACACGTGCTGCTCAGTGACTAGCCGGCAGGACTGCAGTCACAAGGCCTCTCGGGCACCTTCTTTAAAAATGAAAAGGGCACCTTCTTTAAAAATGAAAGAAACAGGGCTGCAGCTGCGGCTGAGGGGTAGAGCACTTGCCTCCCATGCCTGAGGCCCTGGGTTCGATCCTCAGCACCACATAAAAATAAAGATACTGTGTCTCCAGCTACAACTAAGAAAATATTCTAAAAAGAAATGAAAGAAACAACTACCAAGATTCCCTGTGCTATGGCTTAAGCACAATAGAATCCCTCCCTGTAATGAATGTAAAACCTGGAAGGACAAGTTCTTAAGAGGTCCATTAAACTCCCTGAGAAACCAAGCAGAGAAAGCCATTTACAAATGGCCCTCAGTTTTTTCATAGTAAGAAAAAAAAAAAAAAATCAGCCTGAATTGAAGGGGAAAATGGTTCAAGGAAAATAAAGATACACCCTGGGTGAGGTGAGAGGGAAGGCCGGCTTGGGGCTCGGGGCTCTGGCAACTGCCACAGGAGAAGCCAACCTGCTCAGGGATGGACCAGCCACAGGGGAGAGGGCCTGGTGTGTGCAGGGCCTTACCCCTACTTTCCGAAGCAGGTCCCCCACGATGTTGAGGGCTGAAATCCGGGCTGCAGGTGTGAGGGGGGTCCCACTGTTGGAGTTATCCAGACCTGGGTGTGCAAAGAGAAGCGTGTGTCACACACCAGCCTTCACCCGTGTTCTGACACGTCCAGATCTGAGGCAGTGGGGGCGGGAGGGAAGCGGCTGCCTTCTCTCTGACCAGGAGGTAGCTGAGTGATGTGCCGAGACCTGCTGACGACTGACTCTGCTCCTTGTGAAGACCCCACCGAGCACCTATGTTCACACGTTCATTTTGTCGAAGTCCTCTTGAAACCCTAGGAGTCCACACAGCCAGCCCCGGCACCTGTTCCAGGCAGCTAGCTCTCACATTAGCTGTGTAAATGTGACATTTACACAGGAAGCGAGTCGGAGCACAAAGCACTCTGCTCGGCAGAGACCCCTCCCCAAAGTGGCTCCGTGGACCAGCCGCTCCTGGGTGCTGGTCAGAAAGGCAAAGTCACCCAGACCAGCCAAACCTGAGGTGCCCGTGGAGGAGACTTCAACTCATCCCCAGGAGTCCTGCTCAGGACTCCTGGAAGAGAGGGACAGTGCTCCAGGCAGGACTCTAGGACCCTCCACACCTCTTCGTCGCCAGGGGACAAGCTATGGGCCCTGGAGCCAGCCTGCCTGGGTTCCCACCCCAACTCTGCCATTGACTTCCGAGGGATGCCGGGCAGCTCTGGGACGCAGGGCCTCGGTCTCCACTCTCTCCAGATGGGGATAGCTCTGACATCAAGGGCCCGAGGCGAGTACCGTGAGGCCACACGCAGAGCCCTTCAAGCTCGGTGGCCAGCAGACCTGTCCTTTGATTCTGGCTGTCTGTGGCCTGATCAGGGTGTCCCAGCTGAGCACTCAGCACGGGGCAGAATTCAAACCTCTCTGGTCCTGCCGCTCAGCACAGTTTCCTGGGTCCCCTTGGGATGGAGGAGCTGCTGGTCCCACGAGGCTTTGACTTTCGAGCTGGGGGCCTCACTGAGTGGCCCCCGCCAGCCTCAAGCCCGATTCTCTTGCCTCAGCTTCCCAAGCTGCTGGGGTCACAGGCCCAGCCCACAAGGCTTTGTGTCCACGATGCTTTTCACACTTCTTTATTGGTCATTCAACTGGGGGATTTCATATTTGAAAAGGTCTCTGGTGAAGAATGGCCACATCTGCGGGACGGAGCCCACTTCCTGTGGCAGGAGTGAGCAGTGGGTGCCCCTCTAGATAGGGTTTCTGTCCTTCACCAGGGACCCCGCCGCTCCCTACTGCCTCACATCCTGGACACTCCCCTCATTCACCACAGTGCCCTGGCGTGCCGAGTGCCCCAGACTGCCCCTGCCGTCCAGCCCGGCCCAGGTCCCCTCACCCAGGACCCACCCAGGTTCTCAGTGGGCCAAGCTGCGTGAAACCACCACCCTGCGGATCCCCTGTTGCCTCACCACGTTTGAACGTCCCCGGTGTGTTTAGGCCGGAGCTGGGTCCTCGATGTGCTATGGGCGTGGACGGCACGGAGCCCGTGGCCTGCACGGCTGTGTCCGTCCTCTCAGCTTCGGCCGAGCTGGGCATGGGCGTCCTGGGCTTCTCCTGCTTCTGCTGCACAGCCAGCTCCTGCCGCAAATCTGCACCAGGAGAAGAATCCAGAAATGGGAGTCCTGCTCTGGGGCGGGGGGTGGGGCGGCCCACAAGGAGAGGGGAGAAAACTCCAGGAGGAAGCCCCAGGTGGAGGGAGACCCTCGCGACCCTGCCGAGCAGCTTGGCCAACTATGTGATCTGGTTTCTGAGTTAAAAAAAAAAAAAAAGGTTTAAAAATGTTTAAAACTGCGGTAGCGACACGTTACGTCTTTTATTGTTAAAGAAATTCAACGCAGCAGTGCACACAGGGTCCCAGTGCAATGAGGGTGTGCGTTCCCCCAGAAGCACTGCTCCCCGCCCAATGCCCCGTGACTCCTGAGTGGTCCCAACACTCGGGACATCTTCTCAACCCTTTTCTTCTGGGTTGTAGCATCTTTCCCCTTTTATATTTAAAACCCTCCAGTGTTTTACTGGTGCATCACAACCACACACAACAGTGGGAGTCACTGTCACACATTCTACAGGCACACAATGCGACGTACACTTTGGTCAATATGGCTCCTCAGTATTTCCCCGCCCCCCGGTCCCTCCCCTCTGCTCTGCTGGTCTCCCTTCAATTTTCATGAGATTCCCCCCAACCATTCTTTTCCTTTTTCCTTTCGAATTTCCACATGAGAGAAAGTACAAGACCCTTGACTTTCTGAGTTTCACAGAACACTCTCAAGTTCCATCCATTTTCCTGCAAAGGACATTCATTCTTTTTTTATGGCTGAATAAAACTCCATTGTGTATTTATACCACTTTTTTTTTCATCCATTCATCTAAAACGAGGGATTACATATTTGGAAAGAAGGTCTCTGGTGAAGAATGGCCACATCTGTGTCATGAGCCCACACTCCTTGTGGGAGGAGTGAGCTGCCCCTCTAGATAGGGTTTCTGTCCTTCTCCAGAGACCCCGCCACTCCCTACTGCCTCACGTCCTATTTAGTATCTAACCCTTGTTTCATTTTAACAAATGTCTAACGTTCCATAAACCATACCTAAGTAATATTCTCAGCCACTTCATGATGGTGTAGCAGTCACTACAGTTGACATTCCTTATTCCAGAATGCTGGGACCAGAAGTGCTTCAGATTTTGTAGTTTTTTCCAAATTTGGAAAATATTTACATAGATTTCACTGGCTGAACATCCCTAATCTGAAAATCTGAACTGGTTCAAAATCTAAAACTTCAGTGGTACGTTTTAAATGTAACAGTTGGGGTTTTTCGTTGTTCTCTTAAATCCCCTACCTACTTACTACATATCAGAAATCAAATCAATCTTGTAAACAACTAGGACTTCAAAAAAAGTCATCCTGGACGTCTCATGAATGCACGCAGTGGTGAGTCCAAAAGCCTTAAGTCAGGAACCGCCACGCTCACGCGGACGAGGTTCAGAGTTCTAAGTCACATGAGGCCATTCCACCAGGAGGAAACTCTTGTGCTCCTACTGAGGTCCAAGCCAGCTTGGCTTGGCTCCTGTGTTGATTACGGACTAAGAAGCATCTTTCCTGAAATGAATTCTGCTGCTGAGACAAAACCCCAAAGCAAGCCCTTAATCTGTGAACCCTAAAGCTATTTCTGTGAATACCGAAGGGGGGGGTTTACAGATGATCCCTAAACACTGAGGGCAGCTGACAATTCTGAGGTTGGAGAGGGACCAAGGCAAGGGACTGCCCAGGGTGGTCCCGTCCTCTGCCTGGCTAACTGGGTGCAGAGAGGGGGACGGGTCTCCAGGGAAGGCAGCGCTGGGCAAGGCCAGGGGACAGGTACTGTCAGGGAGGAAGAGAGGACCACACCCGTGAAGTTGCAGGACAAGGCCCAGGCCCTCCTGACCTCTGGCTTCGTCCTTCAGCCGCTGGACGGACTCTAGAAGGTTCTCCTTCTCATCAAGTTCACTTTCCAGGAAGGCGTTTCTTTCAATAGCTTGATTCAGGCGCTGCTCAAAGTCTTCCAGGGACATGATGGTGGCTCTAGATAAGAGAAAAGCAAAGCTGTCCAGGAGGGCAAGGGGCAGCGTCCACCGGTACCTACAGACCCAGGAGACACTGCAGGTCAGATATACCTGGGCCCAAGTCCCAGCACTGGGCTTCCTACATGCCAGACTGGGATAGGTCCCTTAGCCTCAGGGACCCAAGCCACAGACCTAGGCAGGTCCTTTAGCCTCAGGGGCTCAGGGTGCTGACTGAGGAATGGGAGTCACCCAGGAGCACAGAGGTGAGTAAGGCACTGTGCACACTGCCCCAGCAACCAGCCAGGGCCTCAGCAGAGGACATGACCCACCCAGTCCCTGGTGAGTAGCCAACTCCGCCTTCTCTTGGAAGTTCACAATGCAAACTAGTACAGAGAACTGCCTAATAAACACTGATGCAATTCAGCAACACTCGTTTAAACAGGCAGAAGAGACAGCGCAATTACTTTAGAAAGCTCTGAAGGCCCAGCCCAGGCCAGCTGCCCTGCCAACAATCCCTGTGAACAGAGAGGACGTCACCCTGGGGCACAGCAGTGAGGGGGCTGAGAAGGGCCGTAATGGAAGGAAGAGTTTGGCTCTGGCAAGCTTCTTTCTCTGGGTCTCCGCTTCCTCGCGTGTGAAGCAGGCATGGCAGTGGTGTCCCCAGGTAAGAGCTGGGGGATAAAGGAAGACGAAGAGCACCCGCAGGGGCGCCACACCAAGCACCAGTGATTTTGTCTTTGCGGTGCTGGGGAAGAAGCCCAGGGCCTCACGCACACTAGGCAAGCGCTCTCCCCCCAGAGACTTTTATTTGTGACCTGTGTTGGTCTCCAGAGGGCCTTTACCGCCCTGCTAACTATAGTCCATGGTGGCTGGAAACACGCTTGGCATGAACCAGGAACCAACACCAAGCTTCTCCATGGAGGCCTGAGTGTCCTTGTCCCTTTGCCTGCAAAGCAAGCTGGGATTCCTTCCCTCCTTCAACCCCTCCTTCAACGTCTACCTGGAGTCACATTCGCACCCACCATGGGAGAGTCTTTGGAAGAAGTGGGATAAATTCACCAGAAGAGGCTAATTCAAAACAACAAAGGGATGGCACCCAGGAGCACAAGAACCAGTTAAAATGCCCTCACACGACCATGAACGTCGCACATCTAGGAATCCTGTGACAACGAACACGCAAGGACACAAGACGCCGAGGAAACACAGACGTGCTATTCATGGAGCGGAGGACCCAGTATCAGGAAGGAGTCGGCTCTCCAGGAGCTCATGACAAACCTGCTACCATTTTCACAAAGACACAGGGCTGGGGCGGAAGACTTGAAGGATCCCGTGATAATGAAACAAGAACGGCTGGAGAGCGGTTGGGGTGTAGCCCCCTGGTGAGGCCCCAGGTTCAGTCCTCGGGGAGCTGGCCCTGGCAGGCAGAAGACACGCTACCCTAGAGCCTCAGTACTGAATGACGGCAGGTCCTGGTGAGAAGGACAGGCAGCCCGGGGGGACTTCAGGTCCAGAGGTAGAGGCAAAAATGACCACGGCACATGGTCCAGCAGCACCACACACCCTGGGGGAAGATGGCCAGTTCAGGTCTAGGCTTAGGCGGCCGCCTGGAAAAGGGGGGTTGGATTCCAAACTCTTGGTGCAGCCCAAGATAAATGCCATCGGCGTCAGAAACTTAAACTCAGTATTTGCTCCAAATCGAGTATTTGGCTTCTGGAACGACAGAGAACTGAAGACCTCAGCGGTGTTCCTGCCATTTCTGCTCCAGCGTCCGCAGTCTTGTGACATGCGTGACCAGCACGATGGCACTGGTCACATGGTGCCTTGGGCCGCTACTTCTTTACTGATAATACTGGCAAGCCACGTCCTTCAGAGTCACTGTGACTACTGCAGAATTTGCTTTCCAATAAAAGGTCAGCATCCTGATGATAACCCAAGTTAAAATTACCTCCTGGGCTCTATATGTTGAGATTCTACCTGTCGACTGATCAATTATAAGTGTATTTACTAGAAGAGTAAAATGTGCAAGGATTAATGGCTGGAAGCTGCTACTGTCGTGTACTGTTAAGAGCTTGAAGAGAGTCAGATAGGGAAACGGTTTTCCGGAAAACAACAGATTTATCAGATAAAAACACGCAGGTGATAAGATCAATCCATTTTAATTTCTGTGGAAATTTTTGGTGTCTTAACGCTTATGTATGAAATAAAATAACTTTTAAGGGTTGTATTTAAATTTAGCGTCTTCTAGTGAGGCCCCCAGTCTTTCAAGCCATCCTTGCCCAAGGTCCCCTCCCCCGTGGAAGGTGAATCACTACTTGTACAGGTGTGCAGCATCAGGACAGGAAGAAGGACCGCCGATGGTGCTGAAAAGTGCCGTTGCTGCAACAGAATGTCCTGTTTCCCAAACGGGACTGTTCAACGTTCATAATAAAATCTTCACGTTACAGTTCCTGTGAAACAACAAAGCTTGGCATTCTAGAGATTCATCAGTCCCGTCATGGTGCCTCGGGCCGCTACTTCTTCACTGAGAGAGAAGAGGAGGGACAAAGAAAGGGAGGAGAAACAATGCCAGAAGAAAAGCGGCTAAGTGGCGCCAGGACTGAGCAAGGAGCAGGGCTACGCGGAAGCCAAAAACCGACGCACCAGTAAAGACACCACGGGCAAAGCCGGGGACCAGGGCCAGCTCCCAACACTCCCAACTCATATCAGGTATATAAGTATATCCTGAGAATAATGAAAAGCAAACAACAACAACAAAAACCCACCAACCAAAGACAGCTGGAGCTGGGGCTCGCTGGCAGATGGCTGCCCAGCACGAGGGAGGCCCTGGTCTGACCCCCAGGAGAGTCCAGAGTAAGGGAAATGACATAGTTCTGCAGTATATGAAAAGAAACTCAAAGTCACTTAGGATTCAGAAATCAGCCTGTTTCTCACCTCTTAGGAAGAAATCCTAAGCTTGAAAACTACTGTGAAGCTATTTCTAAAACAGCCATTCGTACACATCCTGTCATTTCCACCCAAATCTCATTGATCAAAGCAAGTCACATGGCCACGCCCAGTCAAAGGGTAGGGAAGTACATTCCACTCAAGGCAAGGTGTGCTAGAGAGAGGTAGGGAGACCCAGCAGGGATGCTGGGGACCTACGCTGGACCCAGCAGATGGAGAATAACCCAGCCAAAATCACAAATGCATATATCCTCAGAAACACCAGTTTAGCTCCTGGGACTTTATTCTACAGTCTGTATCTGTGAGTAGTCATTTGACACAGCAGTGCTTATCATTGTAAAAGACCAAAAATTCAAGAGCGATATCCATCCACTGGGGACTCGGTAAATAAATTACTATGGCATCCTACCACATGATACCAACTGTCGATACATATGTAATATTCTACTTGGGGGGAAAAGAACAAAGAATGCTGGTGTCCTACAACAATAGACCTCCAAGATTCTGAAGAGCTATCGATCTATCTCCAAGATTCTCCAATGCGTAACAGCACGTGCACCGTGCTCTTCTATGGGTTAGATAGAGAAAGGAGATAAGAAGAATGTCGATTTTTATTGACTTGAATTTGCATTAAAAAAAAAATTGAACTACTCCTTTGTCTATCCTTTCTGAACTGTGTGATGCACTACCTGTTAGGGGAGGACCATCAATGGTCCCAATTCCTCTTCCCTCTCTGCACCCACACTCTTTGATGCAGCATGGCCATGTAACTTGTGACCAGCCATACGGGGGTGGAAATGACAGCATGCCAGTAGCTTGCCAACAGTCGAATGTGGCTTTGCCTACTACAAAGCCACAGTGCTCAAGTCCCCAGGGTATTGGTGGAGCCATTCACAAACGGTATATTGGACCAAACGGAGAATCCAGAATTAGACCCCAGGATGTACGGGAGATTAACATAACATCAGCTTCAAATCAGGGTGGGGGAAAGACGGGGTGTTTAATAAACAGCACCATAAAAACGGGTTATCCACCTAAAGAAAATAAGGTTGATCCCATATCTCATCCTAGATATAAAAAATAAACTCTAGGTGAATTAAGGCAGTAAATGTAAGAAAATAAACAATAAAAAGATTTTGTAAAAAGAGAAAGAGAGGAAACGAAGCTATAAAAGGAGAAATAACTGATGACCTGGAAATGGAAAATATTTGTATGGAAAATGATGGACAGGGGCTGGGGATGTGGCTAAAGCGGTAGTGCGCTCGCCTGGCATGTGTGCGGCCCGGGTTCGATCCTCAGCACCACATACCAGCAAAGATGTTGTGTCCGCCAAGAACTAAAAAATAAATATTTAAAAAAAAGAAATTCTCTCTCTCTTAAAAAAAAAAAAAAGATGGACAAAGTCAGACAAAAGATTATTTTGGGCCAGGCACAGTGGCTCATACCCGTAATCCTAGCAGGTCAAGGAGGCTGAGGCAGGAGGATCACAAGTTCAAGGCTAGCCCCAGAAATGTAGCAAGACTCTGTCTCAAGATGAAATATAAAGGGCTGGGAATGTAGCTTAGTGGTTAGGCACCCCAGGGGTTCAATCCCTGGTGCCAAATAAAAAAAGAAGAAAAAGATTATTCTGCAAAAATACAATTTTTCAATAAAGGACAAAAGGTTAGCACCAAAAATGAACAAAGAACTCTTACAAATTGACAAGAAAGGAGGTCCCACTTCTGATAATAATGAGCCAGTTGGTATCAGACTAAGCCTCCTACAGATTGCAACTATAAACGCTGGGGAAAATGTGCAAAAACAACTATCTGAAGGCACTGGCAGAAGCAGAAGGAAGCCAATACTTGGAAGAAGGGAACAGCACTGGGGAACATGACCCATTTCCAAGCTTCAGACCTAAGGCCCCACAAGAGAAATCCAGCCACAGGAGAAAGCCTCGAATGCTGCCCACACACTCTCGCCACCTCTCTGGCGGACCCCTAAACCGCATGTGCATGAGGCAAACTCAGAGCACCCAGTAAGGCTTTAAAAAAACAAACAAAAAAACCAAAATAGATCTCAGTTACTGCCCATCAGACGGGAGACAGTTTGGAATGTAAATTCAGCCAAGTTATACTTGAAAAAACAGACCAAAGAACAAAATAATAACAGTAAGAAAATTCCACCTAATATGTGAATCACGATGTCCAAAATATTACCCAGAATTACTAGACTTGTAAAATGCAAGAAAAATGTGATCCAACTCAGGAGAAAAGGCAATCACTGGAAAGCAAACCTGATACAACCCAGATGTTGGAAACAGCAGAAAAGGATTTTAAAATAGATATTGTAACTATGCTCAAGGATGCACAGGAAGAAATCTCAGTAGAGGAATAGAAATTATATCTATACACATATGAATCAAATGAAAGTTCTTGATGTGAAAACATAATACATCTAAAATCAAACATTATTTGATACAGTTTAATAGCAGATTAGAGAAGGGAACTCTGTGAACTTGAAACTAGAATAATAAAACTGTGCAACTTGAGAAGCCAAGACAAAGAACTTAAAAATCTCACACACACACACACACACACACACACACACACACACACACACGTGTTCTCTCCCCTCTCTCTCTCTTAGACTAACATATCAAAAAGACATGAGTTTAACTGGTATCACAGAAGAATAGGAGAGAAAGAATGGCAGAGAAAAGAATTTTGAGGAAAGAGTGGTCAAAGCTAAATTTGGCAAAAGACAAACGTACAGATTGAAGAAGCTCAGCAAACCCCCATCAGCCTAAGTACAAATAAAACCTCAGCCAGGAGCGGTGGTGCACACCTATAATCCCAGAGGTTCAGGAGTCTGAGGCAGGAGGATTGCAAGTTCAAGGCCAGCCTCAGCAACTTAGTGAGACCCCGTTTCAAAATAAGAAGGGCTCAGGGTGTGGCTCAGTGGTTGAGCACCCTTGGGTTCAATCCCTGGTACCAAAACACACACACACACACACAGAGCGAGGTGCCTTCTAGTCCACCCTGAACACCAGGAAACAGAATCTGAGAGCAGCCAGAAGGCAGCACTTCACACTTGGGCAGTAACGTAGGAATGACCTCCAACTGTGATCAGAAACGGAGGCCAAGACAATGAAATCACCTAGAGGTGCTAGTCGAAAACACAAAACCAAAGTCCTAGTCAGAACCCACACCTAGTGAAAACACCCTTCGTGGATGAAGGCAAAGATATTTTCGGATAGAAGCTACGCCACCAGAAATCCTAAGGACGTTCTTAAAGCTGGAGGGGTGTGGAGTCGGATGGAAATAGCTTCAGGAAGGAATGAAGAGCACCAAGCACCAGACATGATAAATATGTGGGAGACTATTTTTCCATCCTCTTAATTTCTTCATATGACTTTTTAAAGCAAAAGTTATAACAATGTAGTATGAATTCCTCAGCACTCCTAGATGTATCAGATCTATTCAACAGATTTGTAGATGCAAAAAAAGGAAGAGATACAATATCAACTTAAGACTGAAAAACTGGAGAAGTGTACAGTCATCCCCAAAGCAACCACTAAAACAGAAGGAACTCTGGAAAAATCAAAGTGCTCCGTATCTCAGTAGGAGTGTGGGCTTCATGAATGGGAGCATTTTTCAAAACTAACTGAATTGTACACTTGAGATCTGCACATTTCACTGTAATTTATATATAAATTATTTAATTGTACATATTTATAGGGGTACAGAATACTTTTAATATTTTTAAAAAGAATTTTCTTTAAATGAAAAAGTGCCTATAGAGAGAGTAATCATCCCATAAATATTGTGTTCTGCTAAACCACAGAACATCAGTTTAGGGAATACTGTTTTGTTAATGTGTTCCTTTCCTGCCTACCTCAGGACCTTAGCACATGCCCATCCTTCTGCCTGGAATGCTTTTACCTTGCTTCCCTTCCTGGATAACGGCTATTCAGGCCTTCAGTCTTGGCCTAAAGGGCATTTCCTGTGGGAGGCTTTGCCTGACCGTCTCCCACCAATGGCCAAATTAATTCATCCTATTACAGTCCCCCAGCTCCTGGCCTTCCAGCATTTCTTGCTGTAATTAGCGAGCTCATGCCTGCCTACTGTCCGTTTCCCCCACGAGACCCCAAAGGGCACTGGCTCTGCCCGGTCACTGGCCAGCTCTCTGTGCCTGGTGCCAACGAGCTGGAGTGAAGGGCAGGAGGAAAGCCCCCCACCCCACCCCCCATCCTCTCCCTCCCAACGCACCGCTTTGCTCTCTCCAGGTCGTCGTTGACCTGCTCCAGCTCCCGGATGTACTTCTGCAGCTGATCTCTAACGGCTCTGGTCTGCGCCAGGTCGCCCTCCAAGGCGGAGATCTGCCGGTAGCCCTCAGAGTGCTGCAGCTCAAACTTCTCCTAAGGACGAAACCAGAGAGGGTGAGCCACGCCAGTCTGACTTCCTGGCGCCTCCTTCCAACGCTCCTGGGACAGGAGCTCCCCTGGGAGTGACAGAAGACCCTGGGAACAGGTGGCAGGCATGTCGTGACCTAGTGCTCCAGCCACATGCCAAGTGCTTCCCGCTCCCTCCCACCTCCCACCCCCCCATGGCATGTGGTACCTGCCCACTCCCAAACCTGGTCCCTACAGCCCCCCAACCATTTAAGGTGTCCATGGATAGAGGAAGCCTCGCCCAACATGCGTTCTGCACCATCGAGTAGGGGGGACCACTGGTGCTTGTGCATCAGGATGAGAGGAGGGCATCGGGCAAGCAGTGTGACAACGTCCTTTGACCCAGGACAGTCCCCTACAGCACAGGGGAAGTTACGGGAAACTTTTGGGCAAGGAGGGAGGGAGATCAGGAAATGGAAGGAAAATGATCACTAAGTACCAGAGGAAGGTTGGGGTGACTGGCTGGTACTTTCCAAAGTCAGGGAATCACGGGTGCCGTCTCAGGGATGGCTGTGGCCCACTTGGAGCAGTTTACATTTACTGCGTGTTGATCTCAGCGCCAGCCTGAGAAGTGGGGACTGAGGCTCAGTTATACAGCCAGCCCAAACCCACTGGCCGCAGACGACCCAGTCAAGACTGAGCCCGCCACTAGAGCTGGTGGTGTTAAGACGACCCTAGCCAGACACGGTGGCAGATGCCTGTGATCCAGCGACTTGGGAAGCCAAAGCGGAGGGTCACACATTCTCAGCCAGACTCAGCTACTCAGTGAGACCCTGTCTCTAAATAAAAAGCACCGGGGTTAGAGCTCAGGGTAGAGGGTCCCGAGTTCAATCCCCAGGACCAAACACGGTGACACTCAGCAGCCCTAAGCCACTTCATTCCAGGTCACCGACGTGCCGCCCATGCTTTCTCCTACTTTTGCTCGTCTTTCAAATTCCTTTCTGCATCAACACAGCCTTCCCACACTTGCTTCTGTATTTTATTTATGTATTTCATTTTGTGGTGCCAGGGATCAGCCCAGGTCCCCCGTGTTAGGCAACGGCTCTACCCCTGAGCGGCACCCTCAGCCCCACCCCCTTCCTGGATTCCACAAACACATGAGAGAAGACACGTCCCACAAGAAAGGCCCAAGGTCCACTGGGAAAGTTGAAAACAAAGGCCAGCTTCTCCTCCACTCGGTCCAGTACACAGAGCTGTTGCTAGACACGGTCCGGATGTGCTGGGGGGTGACGTCATGGTGCCCGGGCCACAGAACAGCCGGTTATTCACAGGGTGGTGACAGGAGGTCATTCCATACCCTCCCGCGGGCCGCCAGGGTCCCTCTGCTGCTCCATCCCTGGCTGTGAGCAGAGCGAGGGCCTGGACAGGCCGAGGCGGCCCGGCCAGTTCCCAGGTGGGGATCTGACTGCCCTGTACCCTTTGCTTGGAGCCGTCCGTCTCTAAGCACGCTGGGGTCCCAGGTCATCACCGCGACTACACTGCAGGTTCCAAGAGGATGCAGGGAGCGGACTTCTCTACCCCCCAGATCCAGATGGTGTCCTCTGAACTGGGGACATGGCAAGCTGTCCTGTCTTGTTGCGCCTTCACTTGGGGCTGATCAGAAGGAGCCGTCAGCTGACGGGGCCTCAATAGCTGCTCTGTCTGATTCCTGCCAGGCGCTGCTTCAGCGCCATGAATGGGCCACTTGTCCAGAAGCCCGTCGCGCGAGCACGTCTCTTAGGTGATGGACAGATGCGTACTGGGGGCAGCGCACTCGTCCTCGGAGATATCTGTTTCCTCCCTGGGAGGCTGTGCGTCTCCCTCCTGCCAGTGGTTGTGCTGAAGAGGGCTTCTGCAGGCTCAGGCTTAAAGCAGCTAATTACTCAGTAACCAAGGGACACTCAGCCTCCAGGGAGTCCCGCGCTCTCCAAACCACAGGGCGGCCTGCAATCCTTCACTCTGTACAGCGTTTGTCCCCGAGTCCTCTCCAAGTTAAGAACCAATGCCACGGGCAGAGAGGTCAGGCTGTCACAGGAGGGAGGGAGGTGGCCCCAGTGTAACACAAACAGACCACCGACACTTGGCCCTGGGCACTGGAGGCAGAGGACGGGCAGGCGGGTCTCAGCTCCCTGCTGGTGTGGGCGGACGCAGACCTGGCGTGGCCAGTTCCACTGCTTCTCAGGGGAAGTCAGAGATCCAGATTTTTCTACACACCTTAGATTGGGATGTTAAATATTTTTTAAAAACCTAAAAATAGAACATTTTACTCTTGAGAGGGAAAACTGTAAACAAACATCTGAAGTCTGGTTAATGCGAAGGCAGAACTCAGGGGAAGATGTGCACAATCTGCAGCCGACTTTGAAATGCATCTGAAAATAAGCTGGCAGGGGGCGCAGACACAGAGGAGGCAGGATGGCAAGGCCACGGGAGAGACCAGGAGGCAGACACGCAGACGTCCCCTGGAGAGGTCTCCCTTGCCCGGTTCTTGGAACCTTTCAAGGTAAATGCTGGGAAAAAGTAAAGGGTCCAGCAAACATCCAGGGCCCGGACGGACCTGTGCGTCGATGGCCAGCCTGGGCTCTCTGGTCTACTGCACCAAGTGGGGACTTCACTGTTTAGCCTCCAAGGTCTTGGGGCCTTTCCGGTCCCTTCTCTGAATCCCCAGGGCATGTGTTGGTCTTGCTTTTTCCCATGCACAGGAAGGCCAGGATTCCACCTGCCACTCACCTTGTCCTCTCTGACACAGGTCCCGGGGAACTTCTCTCACACACCCCAGCCCCTAAGCACCACATTACTGGCTGCACACAGAGACAGACACACACCGCCCCCCTTCCAACCCCAGCTGAAGTCCCTCTCAGCTCCACATGAAGCCTTCTCCAACCCACGCAGACCTTCCTCGTAGAAGGCTCTCACAGCAGAACAATGGGACAGAGCGCCATCTCCCTAACTGCCCGACATGCCATGCAAGTAGGATTAGGTCAGAATGAACCCCACTATTAGGTATGCCTAGAATGCACTCATAAAAAAAAATAATAAAAAAAAAGTTTTTAAGTTGTAGATGGGCACAATACTTTATTTATTTATGTGGTGCTGAGGATTGAACCCAGTGCCTCACGCGTGCAAGACAAGTGCTCTACCACTGAGCCACAACCCCAGCCCCTAATAAAAACTTTTAAAAATATGTTTTAAAATGTGTTTGGAGAGAGAGAAGTGGACAGACACGTAGACATGACAGGGCCCTGCCCCCAAATCACTGAGAAGTGGAATCTCAGAATCGGTGGAGCAGAGCTGGGGTAGACAGGATGGAACTGCCTAGGTCTGCCTGGCGTTTATGAAGCCAGCTTGGTGGTCCTGACTGGCAGCCAGGCTGAGAGCCAGTCTCTGGGGCACAGGATGCCCCCCGACGGTCATCTGCTAAATCCTATAGAATGCACAGGAGGCATGGTCTTCACCCGTCAGAGCAGTGGCTCCCCGGGCTCAGCCACATCTGGAGAGAATTTTGGCTGTTTCAACCCCAGAGATAAGGAGATGCCTGCTGGCACGCGCTGGAGGGAGGCCAGGGTGCCCTTAGACACCCACAATGCACCACGTGGCTCACACATCCAGAGGGCAGCTCCCCCTTCTCCATAGGGACACATCCAAGGCATTCAGCCATGCCCCAGACTTCAGACAGTCTGCGACCCTGTGTGGAGGTGTTTTATCTCACACACACACACCCCTATGATGAGGTTTAACTCATCCCCTTTAAGAAATTAATAACAGTAAAATAGAATAATTATAACAATAAGGCAGAATAAAAGTTACTCAAAACTATTGTTTATGTCTGGAATTTTCCATATAATACATTCTGAGGTAACTAAAACCATGGAAAGTGAAACTGCAGATAGGGGTTGACCGCAGGGTCTGCACTGGGAAACGTCCCCTAGCGCTCTAATGAGGTACCCGTTCCGCAGGCCTCTGCGCACTGATGACACCCATGAGCCGCAGGTGACCAAGAAGCACTAGAAACGTGTGACTGAGGCATCGAGGGCTGGGTGCTCATTAACTTCCTTTTCAACAGCCACCTGTAGCTGGGGTTACCATCCTGGTCAGCACAACCCGGGCCTCATGATGATCAGCAACTCTAGTGACCATCCAACATCCAGAAAGAGCTCCCTGCCATGTGCCCTGGGAAATCAGCACAGGGCTCCAGGAAAGGCCTTGGACGCGGGTGTGACTTGCTTCCCATAGAGCTCCATCCAACAGGGGCACAGAGTGCAGTGACCACCCCTCCCCCAGGCCTGCAGGAGAGGGGACCTGGCCTTGGCCCACACCCCCCAGCGCCCCTCCTCTAGCCCGTCCTTGCTGCAGGCCTGCCCCTGCCTGAGCACACCTCGCCCAGCCCTCACCTTGACCGTCTCCAGCTCCAAGCGCAGGCGGTTGTTCTCTGACAACAGGTCCCGGTTCCTGGACTCGATCTGTTGCAGCTGTGTCTCCAACTCAGCTTCATATTCTCGGCTTCCCTCTTGGAATTCTCGAAGTTCCTCCTGCGTATTCTCTGCCCTGCAGCAGAATCGCCCAAAGTCAAATGATAATTTACTGAGCACCTAGTATGTGCTGCACTGTGCCCGTCACTGCGGGACACGGATCACCTCTTCACTGACAGTACTTCCATTTTACACACAAGATGTGGTTTAGACAAGATGAGTAACTTGTCTAACCATCACACAAGAAATCAAACAGAATTGGGAACTAACTCCCATGTACCCGACTCAAAGCCATTTCTTAACAAACTCACCATTCGCTCAGTCAGTCAGCATATACCAACATGTAGCAAGTATACTTGGGATTTTGTATCCTCTGCAGATTTATTACATACATTATTTCATACATGTATCTCCACCATAGGCCTGTCCCCAGCCCATCCCAAAAGTCTGTCTGGCTTCTCAATCCTTAAAATTCAAGAGACTTGTTCCCTTCAAAACCAAACCTGAATAAACTTTAAATCAAACTAAGAAACGAGAGGGACTGGAACAAGACCTCACGTGGAGATCCTAAGAGTCCAACAAGGACAAGCACTGGACTCACACACACAGCTCCAGACGTGCCCACTGAACGTTGGCTTCCGATTTTAAAATCTGCCAACAACCTGTTTTGTTAGGCACAGGGGAAAGTTCTTTTCTAAAAACCCCATTTATAACTGAGTGCAACGGCATCCAGGAACTGGCTGTGGGTCACAGCGGCCCGAGTTTCCACCCTCGCAGGTGGCGGGGCGGTCAGGCACAGCCCTGCAGCTGATTCCAGCTCTGCTCCTCGCCGGCAGTGACCCTGGGCAGGAGGCTGCCTCCCCTGAGGCTCTCTTCATCTATAAAACAGGCGACAGCAGCTCCTTCAGGGGGCCCTTCTGAGTGTGAGATGAGCCCTTCACGGGGCAGGTGCATAACGGGCCAGCAATAAGAACTCTCCCAGGAGCAGGAGGCCAGCTGGGCTCTGCAGGACTCACCTCTGCTTGTAGGTCATTGCCAGGTCTTTCCAGTAGCTCGCTTCTTCCTCCTCGGAGCCAAAAGTCTTTCCTGAGTCTTCCATGGTAGAAACGGGGAAGGGATCACACTTCCTGGGGCATGGTGTCTAGGAGAGAAGGTTTCAAAGTGACGGTCCGTATTTTTAACAACAATGACAGATTCTTGAAGTTGATTCTGGATTAAGTGATAAAATATTGCTCCCAAACAGAAACTAAATCCAAGCAAAAAACAGCCCAGCTGTCACATTCCACAGGTTAAGATTGATTCACTCCATGAATCTTTACTGAGCACCTACCATAGGACCCAGATAGCCACACAGAATGTCCGCAAGACCCCCGCTTCCCCTCAGGGGGAGGAGATGTAAGGTACCATCCGTGGTGAGTGCAAGAACACAGGCACAGGACACCGTCACGTGACACGGACGTCTCTGTAGAGCACACACGTTGGTGTGTTTGGACACACACAGGATCAGAGAAACTGCCACCACAGTGAAAATGAGAAGTATTTCTGCAGTGACCAGGATGCTTGGGGAGGGAGTCCCCAACTCAACCTGAGTCAGGAGGGGGACCTCCCAGGACAGGTGATGCCTGAGCAGCAGGTGAAAGAATATGACAGGCAAAGGTGGAGGAGGAAGAGGACACGAAACATCAGGAGAGAAAGTCGGTTGCGGGGCACTGAGGAAGTCAGGGAGGCTGAGGTTGGAGGCCAGAAGGATTAAAACAGAGGAGCTAAACCAGTGGGGTTTTTTTTTTAAATTTTTTTTAATATTTATTTTTCAGTTTTCGGTGGACACAACATCTTTATTTTTATGTGGTGCTGAAGATCGAACCCAGCGCCCCGCGCACGCCAGGAGAGCACGTTACCGCTTGAGCCACATCCCCAGCCCCCAGTGGGCTTTTTTGACCTGTTAAGAAACCCAGGGGCAGTGTTCTCCTCTACCATGCCCCATGCTACGATGCTCTGCCTCACCTTGGGCCCAGGCAATGGAGTCGGTCAACCACAGACTGAACCTCTGAAACTGTGAGCCCTCAAATAAACTTTTCCTCCTCTTTTAAAAAAGGTGGCGGCAGCAGCAGCAGCAGCCAGGCAGGGTGGTGCACATCTGTGATCCCAGAGACTTGGGAGGCTGGGACAGGAGGATCACAAGTTTAAGGCCAGCCTCAGCAACTTAGTAAGAGCTTGTCTCAAAATAAGAAATAAAGGGCTGTGGATGTAGCACAGTGGTTGGCAGAGCACTCCTGGATTCAATCTCTAGTGCCACCAGGAAAGAAAAAAGAAAGAAATATATCAGGAACCAGGAACAGTGGTGCACGCTATAATCCCAGCAATTCAGGAGGCTGAGGCAGGAGGATTGCTTGAGCCCAGTTTGAAGCCACCAGGACAGCATGGTGAGATCTCATCTCAAAAAAATAAGCAACTTTGAAAAAAAAAACAAAAAAAAAAAACAGGATTCCAGGACTTACTACATTTGAGAGCAGGGAGAGGGGGAAAGAAGATGGAGGTATCTCCTGGGTCTAGCTCTGGCCACAGGTACCTCAACTATCCCCATCACCAAAGATGGAAAGTACCAGGAGGAGTGGGTGGGTTGGGGGAGACAAACCCGTCTGGGGAATTTTGGGTTTGACTCGTCCAGGACACAGTTAGATGCAACAGAGGACCCGAAACTCAGGGCTGAACTCTAAGCCAACGGTAGAGTCTCCCGAGGACCACGTGTGGCACTTGGGGATGCCAATGCTGGAAAGGCAGGCAGAGAAAGGAAAGAGGAGACAAGGAGGAAGAGCTGTCCCAGGAGAGGACAGTGACAAGGGGACATTCCATAGCAACTAGGACACAACAGAGAAGCAGATAAGAGCTGGAAAATATCCAGGACACTGAGGGACATGCCGGTCACGGGGGCCTGAGCCCGAGTTTCCAGGTTGTGCAAAAGAGAAGGAAGCTGAGCACAGGAGAGAGACCCTGGCAGGTGACAGCAGATGGGACATGGAGACGGGGTCCAAGGAGCTGGAGGAGGGAGCTGGCTCCGAGGGCTCGGGCTGCTCCAATTTCCACCAACCTGGGCTAATAATGGCTTGTCAGCTCCCTGTGGCTAGACCTCCTCTTTCTCTGATGTCACAGCCTATCTTCCGAGTTGGAGGCCTTGAGCTTGCCAAAAGTTAGGAGTCCACATATGATGTCATCAAGGTCCCTCCCTCCCTCAGGCTCCTAGGGGTCCACCCCGCTGCAGACATAACCCACAAGCTGAATCTTTGGTTAAACACACAAACCATTAGGCTGTTCTCTCCCTCCTAATTTTTAAACCTTCCATAATTCAGAGAAAACATACCACTTCCTCCCCACTCCATCCCGACGGGGAAGTGTCTGAGAGCTCCATCCAGGTTGAGAAGACGGGTATGGCCAGAGTGGCTGATGGATAGATTTTTTCCCAGCCACTCATCCTTCCCGCCATCTTGCTGTGACCGTGCCCCAGTATTACCCTGGGGAACGCACTCCACTCTTACTGCATGTGGTTCATGGATTTGAGATCATTCTCTGGCTCTGGGAGACAACCTAGTCCTCTGGCATCAGTGACTGGCACGGGGATGGCCGGACCCAGGTAAGCACTGTCACTACTGTGACATTGACTGGTACATGAGCTGGGCCCAACCCAGGCATGAGCCAATGACAGAGGGACCGGACCCAGTGGTTGAACTAACGGCTGGCGCGGTGGCTGGACGCAGCCAAGGACAGGCTGCGCCACCGGAGCCACGGAGTGCCCGCCTTCCGCACAGCTCCCCAGAGGACACTTCCTACCGGGGTTGGTCAGTGGTAAGTGGCAAGCTCAGGACGGCCAGTGCACATCTGGCCATCACCACGGAGAGCTGGACTGATGAGAGGCGGGGTCTCTCGGTACTGCTGCCACCCCTGCACCCTGTCTCAGCAGATTTAAGGACAGGAGAATCAGTTCCCTGTGGGTTGGCTTTCTGCCACAGACAAGACCTAATCAATATATGAAGAGAACATTCTTATTGCTCAAAGTAAAAACAGGTAGAGTGTTGACGGAAGAGGAAAGGGTAGAGGGTGGCCTGGCCCAGATTCTAAGCCAGTCGCTGACTTGGCCAGGCGCAGTGGCTCACACCTGTGATCCCAGCAGCTCGGGAGGCTGAGGCAGGAGGACAGCAAGTCAAAGCCAGCCTCAGCAACTTAGCAAGACCCCGACTCAAAATATATATATATATATATATATATATATGGGCTGTGGATGTGGCTCAAGCGGTAGCACCCTCGCCTGGCATGCGTGCGGCCCGGGTTCGATCCTCAGCACCACATACAAAGATGTTGTGTCCGCCGAAAACTGAAAAATAAATATTAAAATTCTCTCTCTCTCTCTCTCTCTCTTAAAAAAATATATATATGTAATATATATATATATATATAAAATATAATATATAATAATATATATTATATATTTATTTATTTATTTTAATGCTAGGGATATAACTCTAGGGTAAAGCACCCGAGTTCAATCTCCAGTACCAAAAAAAGAGTAATTGACATGATAAGGAGAAGGGGTAAATCCAGACTGAACACTCTGTGCTCCAGCTTAAGTTCAAAGGAGCCCAGTTCTCATCTAACATGTAGTTACCAAACCAGTTCCATAACCTCAAGAGCACAGAGCTCATGCATCTATAGATGAGTGCCATGTGCCCATTAACACACTGGTGACCCCATGGAGGCCAGCGTCAGCTATGTGGCATAGAAGACAGCACACAATTGGGTGAGGTAGTACCTAACACAGACTAACTATTCTGACTGTTCAGAAAAAAAAAATCACACACAAGATCCCAGGTGACCAGTCCCCTGCTTACTTCTCTAAACATCTCCTACCTCTTATTGGTTTTTGTCCCAAGCACACTGTCTTCACTCTTGCTTGAACACACCAAGTTTGCTCCCACCACAGGGCCTTTGCACTTGCTCTTCCCTTGGCCTGGAATGTTTTTGCCCCAAGTCTCTGTCCAGCAGGCTTCCTTCTTGCCATTCAGCTCTCCAGTGAAATGTTGTCCACAAAGAGACCATATTTAAATACTCTATCAACACTCCCCTCCAACTTTCACTAAGCTACTAACCTCTGCTGCATCTTATTTCATCACTTTTGAGTTTTGTTTATCTTCTCCATGGGAATGCCAGTTCTTGTATAGCAAGCTTTTTCATCCCCAGTGCCTACAACAGTGTCTGGCATTCAATGAATGGGAACCAGGGAGAGATGGAGACTGATAACTGGGAAGGGCTGTGAGCAGAAGGAAAGGCAGCAAGCCGGGCCTGAGGGAGGAGAGAGGCGCTGAAGCTTGCTCACACCTGGAAACCCCAAGACACTATCAGAGAACCAAACCCAACTCTCCCCAGGTGCAGCTGGGAACGGTAATGAGAAGTGGCTGGAGAAGATGCGGAGTGGGAAACCCGCCCACCCAGGGTCACGTGATAAGCAGTAGCCCACGCAGTTACTGGAGTTCAGAGGCTCCTCCTGCATGCTTACAAGGGAGTTTTAGAAAAGGGCTTCTTAAGACCTTTATCTTGGCCAATGAGGCTTAAAACTGAATCCTCTGGAAAGGATGCGAGACTTGTTTGGAAGTGATGTGATGGTGAGTGGGTGGGTCTAACTATAAGAAGGCCAGAGAGAAGGGCCCAGCCTTGACCTTCAGGGACTGAAGAGAAACCACAGAGACCCTGGACTACGTCAGAGCCTGCACAATCCTGTATGTCAACTAAAGGACAAGGGGCACAGGAATGGATTTCAACCCAAACCCCACGCCACACATTCTAAAAGCAATAGTTAGGGAAGAGGAAAGAAATTCTGAAGAAGGGGGAAGAAGTCTAGTGTAAAGAAGCAACCATATGTGTGTGTGTGTGTGTGTGTATCTATATACACACACACACCAGGGATTGAGCCCAGGGGTGCTTAAACACTGAGCCACATCCCCAGCCCTTTTTGAGACAGGGTCTCAGTAAGTTGCTTAGGACCTTGCTAAATTGCTGGGGCTGGCCTTGAACTTGTGATGCTCCTGCTTAAAAATATATTTCCTTTTACTATTTGGAATCTGGCTTGGAAAGTCCTATGGCTCTGCTCTCTGCCACAGAAAGCAGGCTTGGTGACTCACAAAGGCTCTCTCCTTCCAGGATTATCTACTGACTTTTTACCTTGGCCTTCTACTTGCTGTTGGCTGGGCATTTAACAAACTCCTTTCAAAGGACACTAGCCGCCTCAGGCTGTTCTGCCCTAAGAGGTAGGCAGTAGCTGAAACGAATGGTAGAGCAGGAACATGGCACGCACTGGCCATCTTTCAAGGGGCAAGTTAGTGGTAGAAGCAACCAGAACCAAGTCCAAGGCCTTGCAGGAGTTGCAGACAGACTGACTGGAGGTCAGATTCCCTCATTTCATTTGGCCTATGGTCCTTTTAAAGACACTATAGAAGGCAGGTGTTGGTGCATACTGGTCACAGCATACACAGCTCTGTACCTTCTATCTTTTTTTTTGGGGGGGGGGGGGGACCGGAGATTGAACTCAAGGGCACTTGATCACTGAGCCACAACCCCAGCCCTGTTTTGTGATTTATTTAGGGACAGGGTCTGAGTTATTTAGCATCTCACTTTTGCTGAAGCTGTCCTTGAACTTGTGATCCTGTCTCAGCCCGAAAGCCGCTGGGATTACAGGCATGCGCCATTGCACCCAGCTTGTAACTTCTATCTTAAAAGTGGATTCTACACTTAATTCACCTGTGTGCAGATCTTCCTGTCAACACGTCCAGAAGCTCTGTGGACCAATCTGATGGGGACCTCAAATATACATGCAGCATGCAAAAAACAAACTAGGATCCAGTGGTACAGAAACTGTTTGGCATCACTTAGAACTCTACCTCCTATAAAAATTCTATAAAAATTCATTTCAGCATTTTTTGCTTGATTAAATGGAACAGGAATGTCTCAAAACACACTGGAGACACACATCTCTGATTTCAAAACTCTGGAAAAAATTAAGTGGTCCCTCTTGGCTTCCCTCTGAGCAAAGAAAGTCAGCACAGCTGATCAGGATCAATACACAGGTAGAAACCATCAGGAATTAACTGGCTGCCCTTCTCCACCCAAACCCCACCTCCTTCCCGATCAAAACAAATGCAAGAGCTGAGGGGAAAGGGAGGGAAGAGAGAGAAGCTGGCAAGTGTTCACACATGCACCAAGAGCCTTGTTACCACGCAGGCTTTGCACTTTGCAGAAGTGACATCACTGGGGCAAAAATCAGTGAAGAGTCAGCAAGCCTGGTGTCTCTTTGTGCCTTCAAGGTCTATAATGATCTACCTACAAAAGTACTGAAGCATGCAAGGACAGGTGCTCAGGGATACACCCTGTCATTCACTAACATGGAAAACTGGAGAAACCTAAGTGTCAGCAGAAGACTGATGGAAAACTGCAGTTGTTGAGAATTACATGTACACATACGGAAGAAAGCTCATGGTGTGTTGAAAGAGGGTCGTTCTTGTTTATCTTCCTCTCTCTGCAACACGGTTAGAAAAGGGTCTGGAAGGAAGTGCCAGGGTAGGGGTAGAGCAGGCACCAAGATAACTACTTGTACCTGGCACACTTCTTTACACTAGACTTTTACAGTAAGCATGTCATTTTTGAAATTTTAAAAAGCTTATGCTAGGGGGAAAAATAGCTATTGTTCCAAGATAATTTTACTCTTTTGAACCAAGATACCAGGGAATTTTTCCTACTGTCTTCCCCTCCTCTATTCCTTTTAATCACTTCTTGAATGCCTGCCTACTATGTGCTCTGCTGGGAGAGGCCCGCAAAGCAATACTAGCTGCAGGGACAAACTTTCTGGGCACTGGCAGGATTAAGTTAGGAAACTGTCTTGCAAGAGATGGGAGTGTAATCTTTCTGGGTTCACAAGTTCTAAGGCAAAGAATACATTTCGGAAACAAAAATAACGTCCTAACAGAGTAAGCCAAGTTAGGATACTATTATCCAAAATGGGATAAAATACACAGTTCAGAGAGACCGTAAGACTTCAAGGGCACAGATCATCAGCATCTAATACAACACAAAAGAGCTGAGAGGAAAGATTAAGTTTCAAAACTGGTGAAATACCAGCGAGGTAGGGGGAGGGGCAAGGGTGGTCAGATAACTAGAGGCTCTGGGAGTAGCGGGGTATTCAATTACGCTTCAAAGCACCCTACTCAAGTCCTAAAACGCCATCCTAGCCCAGAATACATTGAAACAAAACCAGCCTAGAAAATGACAAACCTGGGCACAGCACACGCTGCCAGGGCCCTTTCTTTAGAAAGGAAGTTAAAAGGGGCCTCGGGCTAAAAGTAGAAAGAAAGAGGCACAACCTGGTATGAACCCTGGACAAAGAAGACGGGGCGCTCGGGCTCTCGGGAGGCCGAGAACCTGAGATGACTTAGAGAAGATAAAGTACCTGCCCCAAAGCAGTGTCCAGGTGACGGCGGGGTTTCCCGGGACCTCGGGGAGGCAGGTAAGCCCAGCCAGCATTCAAGCTGCGGAATAAGCGCTTTTCACCCTTTATTCAATCCTGGCCCAAAGTGCTGTCCCGAGAAATCCGAACCGCCCCGCTGCAGAGGTCTGAGAAAAGCGGGTGGAAGGAGACTGCTCCAAGGGAGGGAGGTGCAAAGGAGGGGGTGGTTTTTGGAAGGAACCCTGCGCTCGGGGTGAAAATGGGGTGGGGACATGGGCACGAAGGCGGAGGTGGCGCTGGAAGTGAAGGAACGAGGGGGACCAGGGGCCCGCAGGAGAAGCAGGGGCGGGAACGGGCGGGTGGCGGGATGGAGGGGCGGAAAAGAGACGAGGGGCGTCTAGGAGGCGACCTCGAAGGAGGGAAGAGCGGTAGAGCCGGGCCGGGGGACCAGGAGGGCGAGGTGACCCAGGAAGTCCCCAGGGCGGGCAGGGCAGCGGGGCTGGAGAGACCAGCGCAGAAAGCGGAACGAGGTTGGCCACCCGAGGAGCTGGGCGCGAGGGGCACGCGGTGGGCGGGCGAAAGTTAGGAAGCGGGGCTCCGGGAAGGCGCGGTGTTCGGGAGCCCGCGGAGCCCGGGCAGCGGGAGAGGGCGCGCAGGGTCCCTGCAAGGCGGCGGCGGGGTGCGGTCCCGCGAGCGCGGGCGGGCGCCGGGCGGGGCCAGAGTGTGGCCGCAGCTCCCACTTACCGGGCTCAGGCGCCGAAGACCCGGCGGCCCGGGCGGCGAGGGTGGCGCGGCCCGGGTCCTCGGATCTCCGCCCCGGCGCTCGCGGCCGGCGCCGCCCATTGGCTGCAGCGCCACGGGTCCGCGTCCGGCTCGGCCAATCAGCGCCGAGCAGCGCGGTTTGGAAACTTTTTTCCCAGGCCCGGGCGCGGCGGGGCCACGCGGCGGCTGCCCTGCGCGGGAGGGGCCGGCTGCTGGGCGGCGACTGGCCAGCCGTGGAGAAGGGGCCAGCTGCCCTCCCCAGCACCCGGGACGGGCTTGTCCTCGCGGGCCACGCACTTCAGGAAAAGACGCCGGCCTCTTGCACACCGACTGCCTTCCCCTTCTTCCCCTTCCCCCCAATCTGAAAGATAGGGCAAAGACCCAGGCCCGCCGAGGCCACCAGTGTTCCGTGTCCTTTCCAGTCCTTTACACCCGGAATAGAATCGTCAACTTCATTGTTTGCTTCAGAGGCAGCCCAAGAGCTTGACTTTGAATGCTAGCTCTGCCCCTTGCTAGCGGTGTGCTCTTGTGCAAGTTATTTAACTACGCTCTCAATTTCTTCTGTAGAAGGAGGTTAGGTCAGTCAGCTTTGCACATAGTATGAACAATATACGTATTTGTTAAATGACTGGGGTTTTTGTAGAATTATTATGTATCTCAGGCACACTAACTTCTTGACAAGCTTTTTTTTTCTTTCGTTTAACTCTCGAGACAGGTTAATTGTTCACTAACAAATATTAATCAAGCAATTTTATGTACTAGGCACTCTTAGAGCACGATGAACAAATCAGACAAAGGTACCTGTCCTCCAAGTGCTCATATTTTGAAAAGAAAAAGGCACTAAACCAATAAGCGAATAAAATAATTTCGGGTGTCATGATAAGTTATGAATAAAACAAAGTTGTGATAGAAAAGGGATGAGCGGGGTCATTTCAGATAAAATGGTCAGGAGAAGCCACTTTAAGGATGTGATGATGGAGCTGAGTCTTCCCCGCCCCCCATGATGAGAACCACAGGAAAACACTTTTATTGTACTTATTTTAAAAGATGAGAAGACAAAGGTGCGGGAAGTTAAAGGAGTTGCCCAAGGTACTACAATTAGTAACTAACAAATCAGCATTCAAAACTGGCTCTCTTTGATTCTGTTTGATTTTTCACCATAAACTAGAGGCAAAGAATCCCTCCTGCCTCCCTGCTACAATTAGAATGACCTTTCTCTAATAATTCTTTGACTCCTTGCTAGTTCCTTAAAGAATTTCAGACACACAAAAGGAAACCCCAACACCTACATCAACAGGGTAAAGGAAAGTACCAAAGTGTTTTTCCAGAAATTTCCAATCTGGTCCCAAACACTAACAAATCATTTGCATATGGCTTGATGCTCAGTCTGAGGCCTTTACCTTCTAAATTTTACTTGACCTTTAGAACTCTAAGGTTTCTGGGCATGAAGTAATCACCCAGTTCCTAGACAAGTTGAAGCACAAACTGGTGAGGTATTGGTCTTGCCTAAATGGAAATGATCAAATTATTTGCACTAGTTGGTTCTCATTTTCCCAATGTTTCCATAAAGAACAGGGAAGGATACTGAAATGATTATCGTTAAAAGTTTTATTCAGGGGGCTGGGGATGTGGCTCAAGTGGTGGCCTGCTTGCCTGGCATGCGTGCGACCCGGGTTCGATCCTCAGCACCACACACAAACAAGGATGTTGTGTCCGCCGAAAACTAGAAAATAAATATTGAAGGATTCTCTCTCCCTCTCTCACACACTCTCTCTTAAAAAAAAAAAAAAAAAAAAAAGTTTTATTCAGGACAAAAAATTGGGGGAAAGGATTTGTCATTAGGCAAAATCTTAAAATGTTTCCCTCTTTATCTAATTAAAAATAATAATAATACTGTTCAAATCAGTATACCTGGTTCATTTCAGCTCCTTCACTGCCAAACCTGGGGGCAGGTTTGCTTGAGTTTTTTTTCTTTGCAGCTTTGAGATATGACTCTGTAACAGAGAGCTCAGTTTCTCTCCTTAGAGTCTTCTGTAACAGTGGCCCCTTCACCTTGTGAATATAGCCTTCAATGCTCTAAGGTTTACTTTTTAAAAAAAATATTTTTTTCTCTCTTCTCCCCTCTCCCCAACAAGATTAGGGAGACAGTGTTATCTTTTCTTCCCCTTGAACAAGCCCACTACAGGAAGATCTGGGAAATGAACATCTCCCAAATTAACAAATGAATTCTAACAAGCTAACTGGGTGACCTAGGACCCCCCTACTAGAATGTAACTCTTGAAAAGTTCCTTTAAAACCCCCCTGTCCCTCTTGATCAGGAGTGTCACAGCCTTTGGGACAGGATTCCCTTGTGTTTCTCCTTCGCTAGTAAAGCAATAAACCTTCTTTTACCTTTTTTCTCAAAATCGTGTCCTCATTATTAAATTGGTATTGGTTGGCATTGGGGAGAAGGACCGAGCTTTTGGTTACACTTCCACCATAATTTACCAATTCAAAACACTCAACCTAACATAGGCAGGAAAGCAGTTACTGAGGAGAAACCCCTGTAACAGCAACTTGGATAACTGAGAAGCCAAATCAAATGCAAAGTAGCCATTCAAATAACACAAAAATAAGTCTTCATCCTTGTTTCATAAATGTGGAAGTTATTATTTGGATAAGGAAAAACTTAGACTTACTAAATAGAACTAAATTAATAGAGGCTATCTGTACTTAACATATATCTAAGAGAAATTACTGTTTCCTTGTTTATGTTTGTTAACAAAATCTTGTTCAGAAATACTCAACTAAAGTTTAAAAGGAGGGGTGAAACCATCTAAAAGAGTAGCATATTTGTTTGATACTTTGGAAAAAAAATCATAGAAACACGGTGGGTTTTCATGTGTTTCAATTCCCACTTGGAAAATACTACCCAAACACAGACACAATGAAGATCTACTCCGCAATAATAAATACCTAAGCAGGCAGATGATGTTTACTTGCTGTGTGCCTTCTGGAAAATTAAATACAGGCACAAAGGGTTCTTCAGGGACATGTTGGATCTTGCCCTTCACAATACATGTCTACAGCGACGTATTAATCACCACTAAATACGAATTGCCCAATGAAACCACCTCATCCTGAAGACTTCAGTTAAAAGAAAAAGAAAGTTCTCATTTAGTAATTTCTACTTACTGATTCTTTTGTAAAGTTAATTTGTTTCTCGGCAAACTTAAAAGTAGAATGTTTTGAGTAATATTCTGCTAGCACATTCTCAACTGTGCCTAAGGTTCAGATAATACGTGCTTTGTTTTTCTCCTAATTTGCAACAGGAAATAGCGAGCAGCTGGCAGTTTTAGAAATCACCACGTTGGCCTGATGAGTCTTTAAAAAAAAAAATCACATCAAGTGAAAAATCGTGAGGTGCCACTGAAAAAACACACCCACAGCATGTTTATCCAGCTAAAACAAAAAAGTGCTGTTAGTTTCACAAAGCTTGTGTTAACTGTAGGGTCTCCTTTTTTGTCCACTGTCAATGGAAACGTTGTATTCATTTGTAACGAGCTCTGGATCAGGGCTTTTAAAAACACGATTTTTTAACTGAGGTCGCCACGGCCCTCTTTAATTGTTGGTGACAGTATCCAGCGTTAAGTCTTTGCACGCGCTTTATCTGTGCCAGCTGGGTCGAAACTGCGAGAAAGCAACCGAGGACTTCGCAGGGAGCCCGGGCGGCAGGTTTTCTCCTCCTCTCGCCACTAGGCTGCACTAGTCGTAATTAAGGACGCTGTGAAACATGCGCCATTTAATTTTTAAAAATAAGTAGGACTGTCACGTGGCCAGGCGGGCGGGGGGCGGAAAGCCGAAGCGACCGAGTCTTTCAATGAAATCCCGTGCACATCGCTTGGCCCCCCAAAAGAGCTTAATTCTATTAAATCCCGTTCGGCAGGTTTTTCCTCGGTTCTGCCCCACAAGCTCCCCCAATTCTCCGCTTTGAGGTCCCAACCGCCTCCACAACCTCAGGGTAGGGGAGAGGCCTTCTTAAACTGGGGGTTTCTGCGGAGAAATCCCGGGCAAACCCCCGGGAAGGTCCCTATTTAGGGGTTTATCGGGAGGGGACTGAGCCTGACGAGGCTGCAGGGCCGCGAGGCCCCGCCCCCCCCGGGGGTTCCCAGCGTGCCCCGCGCGGCGAGGACGCGGCGGCGGGGGCGGGGCGAGCGGCAGAGAAGGGCGTCGGTTTTGCGACAGGGGCGGTGCGGTGCGGAAGCGGAAGTGGAGGGTGCGCTTGGCGGCGGCGGCGGGAGCTGCGGAGTCGGGAATCAAAACAAAGGGCCTGGGGGGGGCGGGGGGAAGGCGGCGGGGCCGGAATGTGAGCGGAGGTGGAGCCGGCGGCCGAGGTGAGTTTGCTGTCAGCGCTGGGACTGGACCCTGACAGGCCCACTGCTCTGGGGCCGCCGGAGCTGGACGAGGGGCAATGCCCCCCTCCTTCCCCCACCTATTGCTGGTGGGGTGAGAGGAGAGGTGGCTAGTCCGAGGGGAAGGAGTGGGACCCGCGGCACGGGCTGCTTCCAATCAGTCGGCTGGTCTCCCCTTCAAGTTCCTTCACTACTGTCACTGTTATGCAGACGTTCCCCTTTGGGGTATTTGGCTCCCCGCCCGCACCTGTCTCCCTGCTCCCTATTGGGCCCTCCAGGTGAGAGGAGCAACCTTCCCAGAGGGGTATGCAAAGTTGGAAAGTGAAAAGAAAACGTTAGGAATGGGTGTTTTGCAATCCTCCCGAGCATTTTGCATTCAGCTGGGTCTTTCAACAACCGGTAGGGTGGTCGCCTTGGGGTTTCAACCACTCCCCCTATAATTGTATGCGACCTCCTGATACCCTTTTTAGAGTTTCCCAAGCACCTTTTCTGATTTTACCAAGAGATTTTCAGCTATGTTTTTATTTTTTGCACTTCCCAGCATCTCTGAGCGATAGTCTTCTGCTTTGCATGCAAAAAAATTGAAAATTAAACGTTCTTATTTGACGTTTATTGAGCTCATCATTTGTTCAACAGTTATTTCTTGCTATATGCCAGGCACTGTGCTAGATGCCGGAGATAATAATGAATAAGAAAACATCCCTGGAATGTTGTCCTAGAGTTTACATTCTAATGGGACTAAAAGAGAATAAAATAGCAGGTAAAAAATAAGAATAAAGTAGCAAGGAGAGATGTGAAAAAGAAAAAAAATGGTGATGGAGTGGTGTGGGAGCCCAGGACAAGATAGGGTGATGAGGGAAGGCCATTTGCTAAGTGTTCCAAATGGATTAGCAACTCCTGTAATCAAACAATCCTCTGAGCAGGTTACTTTTTTTTCCCTTTGTTTTCCCCTCCCCCCCCTCTTTCTTTTGTATGAAAGGTAAGAGAAGGGACTGTGAAGGTAAGAGAAGTTGTGAGTTGCTCAAAACTGGACAGCTAGGGAGAGGTGGAATTGGGGACAAATATATAGCGTGACATCACATCCTGTACTCTCAGGCCACTATCTGAATTGTTCAAAGGCCATGAGAGAGAGAGAGACTGAAGGGAGATTCCAACTTAAACAGCCCTTCTTTGGCTACCTAAGTTGCTTAGTAGCATTCCTAGAAATATTGGAAAAATTTCAGGGTGCAGGCCATCAGCAAGTTTTTACTTTTATTTGCTTGTATTAAGCAGTATTAGAGGCAGCTTGGTGTGGTGGTAAGAGTTGGGCAAATCTAATTTTGCCCCTTTCTGCAGTAATTGTGTGATTTCTGACTAGCTACAGAATCTTAAATTTCAATTTCTCCCTTTATGAAATAAGACCAATCATTCCCTTTCTGCCTCACAGAATTACTGAGGGGGAGAAAGTTTATATAAGTGGATCCATTCCTTATTTTTCATCATTATATTTCTTGTGCTTTAGTAAAATATAAGCAAATATTTGCTGAATGAGAAAATAAGGTTAAGTGAAAATGCTTTATAAATTCTAGTTCAATTTGGGGTTTTTGCTTTGAAGAGTTTTGAGAGAGCATATTAAAATTGTTTATACCAGGAACATCACAAATTGTTAGGGCACATAAGACCTGTATGTAGTGGTAAAAACCAAGTATCATTATTTGATATTAGTATTGGCATTTCCATCTCTCGCTCGCTCTCTCTGATTAACCACTTCCAACTCTAGTAGGTAAATTTTGTGATTTCTTAATTCCTTCATTCAACAAATATTTACTTTGTATCTACTGTGTAACAGGCCTGTTTGTGCTTAGTACAAGATACAATGATGAAAATGGGTATTGAGTGATTTGCTATTTTATATGCAATGCTTTGGGGTAGACCAGGGAAAAATTAGCCACATTTTACAGAGGAGGAAACAATGTGTGTGTGTGTGTGTGTGTGTGTGTGTGTGTGTGTGTGTGTGTCTTGCATGTGCCCTGGGGATTAGACTCAAGGCCTTGTTAAGCATGTACTCTAACACCACACCCAAGCCCAGAAAGAGAAACTTAATGAAAATTTGAAGCTTTGCTAAATAGGCCAAATAATTAATATTTTAGGCTTTGTGGCCCGTCCCTGTCACAACTCAACTCCGCAATTGTGCAAGCAACAGACAGCATTTAAATGAATGAGTATGGCTGTGTCTCAATAAGTTAACTTAATGGCCACTGAAATTTGAATCTCATTTAATTTTTTTTTTTCAGGAATTAAAAAATGTAAAATACATTCTCAGTTCACAGGCCATTTAAATTACAGGCAGTGTGCTGGCTTGGGCACACAGGCCAGACTTCTGCTTTATGTGGTCAGTTCTCATGTACCTTAGACACAGTATTTATATAATTTCTCAGCTCCTCCTACCATGTAGATGTTAATATCTCTTGGAAAGAACATCTTATTAGAGATAGAACTAAGAAGTTGTTTACTGTATGCTTAAATAGAATTTCTGATAATGAAATTAATCCCCTGAAAATGGCCAGTATAGGTAAGAAAGGTGGTTGTTGGGACATTGTGGTAGGACTTAGAAATGAAATTTAGTCTTCCTCACCATTGGCCAGCTTCCTCCATGAATGGTGGGTATGGATTGATTTGATCTGTCTTTATTGTACTATTTAAGACTTGTAAAAGTGTTGTTACAGTGGAGCAAATACAGCACACCTGTGACTTGTGGTTGCTTTAATTGTTAGTTTTTTTTTTTTGTGGTGTGTCATATTGGACTTTCATCATAAGTAAACTGAGAAATTGGTTGGATTTATTCTGTGCAGAATAGAATTCAAAATTCACAGTGCTCATATCAGAGACATAGTGGTAGAGTCTGATATCGTGTTATTTCTTTTAATACAATTAGATTCTCTATTCCATCATCTTCTTTACTCTTCTAGGCAGAATCTTGTGAGGGGAGAGAGAAAAAGAGAGAGTTAAAAATAACTTTTAAAAAGTCCGCTTAGGGCAGAGGAAGTTGACTCTAGCCAGGTGAAGAGAAGTCTCATTCAGGAACATGAGAATGTCTAAGATTAGGCTATTTTTTCAAGCATGTCAGTGTTTAAAGAAAAAATAGGACTCAATCAAAACTCATTCCTATTTGAAGAGCTATCAAACACAAGGAATAGCAGTTTATAGATTTTATAAAAATCAGATTGATGCTTTTAGATTTTAAGCATAAGCAGTCAATCAAGTTTAACACATTTTAGTAGCTTGTAAGGTGCTATGATATGCATTCTTTTGTTCTTTCAGATTTGAATCATTGACAGCCATTGCGTGGTACATGTTGCAGTCATATTTAATATAAAATTTGTCCTTATATGAAGAAATAACAAGGAAATGTCACTTGCTCTTAACAGGGTGGAAGAATGAAAGAAAAGAAAGATGAAAGAATGTTGAACCACTTTGCATGGCTGTATGATGGAAGGAAACGGAACTGAGAACCCCTGCAGTAGAACACTTGGATGGCTTCAACAAGATAATGATGCTAAGCCATGGCTTTGGAAATTCTCTAATTGCTTTTCTCGTCCTGAGCAGACGTTGCCACTTAGTCCCCAAACGGTAACTATGTGCAAGGACTTAGCAAACTCCTTGTGTGACTAGATGAGAGGTCCATTTGGTCTGGCATCAGTCTCTTTCCCTGGAGTCTGTGCCAGGTGTTCCTGTATTGCCCATTATAGAACGTTGTTATTCCTGATGCAATGAGGGTGTAGTTTTTTGGTTTTTTTTTTCATTCCTGTATTCCACTCTGAGTGATAGTAGAAACTTTAAACGTTAAAGTTAAAATTTCAGGAAGATTTGTTTCTTAATATAGTCTTAAATTCCAAAGACTGTGTAGTAAAATCAGAGGAAAGTGCAAAATAAATTGTATTATACTGGAGCCTTCTGAGGTTTTGAGTCTCATGACTTAGGAAACATTGACAAGACCGTATTGGCATTCTTTTTTATTCAGGATTTCTCCTGAATGTGTCTTATGAATTTTCTGTGGTGGTGGTAGTGCTCAGCATCAAACCCAGGGACTCACATGTGTGGAGCACATAGCTTACTCTGAGCTGCGTCCCCAGCCCTGTGCTTGCTTTATTTTTTCATAGTGATTTTGACATTTTCTGATTTCATGCACTCCTGTTACCACTTATTTTCCTTTTTTCTATTGTACTTGGGATTCAAATGAGACTTTAAAAAAATCAATTTGGTTTTCTGTCTTCTCTAGGTTTTCACTATATGTTTTTGTTGTTGTTAATGATGCTTTTTACTATATAGTTGTCTTTGTTGCAAGGCATCAAGTAATTTGGGTCATTTCCAGAGTGCATCGGTTTAGGGACAGTTGACAAGGAGTGTTGGCATCTCAACAGGGATTCCTGGGTTATGATCTGGATCTGGTCCTTGTAGAGTCACCCAGTTCAGAATTGCATTCTCAGCATTACCTCAAACCCTGGGTTTTGTTGGTCCCAGGGATGCTTCACCACTGAGCCACATCTCAGCTCCTTTTTATATTTTATTTAGAGACAGAGTCTTGCTAAATTGCTTAGGGCCTCACTAAGTTGCTGAAGCTGGCTTTGAACTTGTGACCCTCCTACCTCAGCCTCCTGAGCCACTGAGATTATGGACATGCGCCAACTGTGCCTGGTTCAAAAGTTGTTTTTGATAGTGGCATGCAGAATGGAGTA